GCCTGGGGCGGGGCGGGGGGCCCTGCCCGGCTGGGGGGGCCGGGGAGCATCTCCCCGCCGCGGTGGAGGTGGGGCGGCTCTGGCTGTCGGCCTGTCAGGCCGGAGGCGTGCGAGTGCAGGCGGGGAGCCGGTCGGGCTGTCGGTTCATTTGTGCCAGGGACGGTCGGGGGGTGGTGGGGTGGGGTGAGTGGGTTTGTGTTTTGAGAGGTTTCCCAGCTGCAGGGCGTTAGTCTGGCCCTGGGGCACGGACAGTCTGAGAGCAGTGGGGAAAGGGGAAAGGGAATAGGGGTTCGGACATGCCAGGGTGTTGCCTTGTTCCCACTGTTAGCGTCGTGCTGGTGCTTTAAAAGGAACGGGTGTTGAGGACGGGGGTTCACTCAGCTCAGAGTTGGATAAACAGTAAGGAAAGTGCAAATGGAGAGGTGTAAAGAGAGCAGTCATAGAAGAGTCAGCAAAATGAAGCATGACAGGCAAGGGCAGTTAAAACACGGGCTAGGGCACATCTGGATTTAATAGGTACCTGACCGTGGAAAGGACATGGCAGGCATTGACAGTTTGTCGTGTCGTCCTTCAGTGCTCTGCTTTAGAAATACACATGCACTTGTTGCAGCAATTCCCTGCAGCAGGCTTCCTGCTTTTCTTTCAGATATGGCCCCATATTATGAAGCACTCTGCAAGTCTCTGGAATGGCAGATAGACATGGATCTGTTGAACAAAATGAAGAAAGCTAATGAGGAAGAATTGAAGCGTCTTGACAATGAATTAGAAGATGCGGAAAAGATCTTGGGGGAGAGCGAAATCCGAGATGCAATGATGGCCAAAGCTGAATACTTGTGCAGGATTGGGGACAAGGTTGGTTTGTGGCAGAGGCTTTGTGGACTCATATTAAAAACACTGCATTGTTAGTAATCCTCTTAGCTAGGCAGGTTCCAGTGAGCACTGGGTGACTTACCGTGTGTTTTCTTGATGGCACAACTTAGACCTGGATGGGAAATAGGGGAGGGTGTTACTGAAATTCAGGTCACCTAGAAAGAAAAACAAGTAGCCCTTGAAAGAAAACATTTTTTTTTCTTGAAAAGGGAAAAAGTTATTTTCCATTTTCAGATGTTATTTTTCACTTTTGTTGCGTCTAGACTTTTCAAAGCTATTTACATAGTGCTACTTAATTTCAGGTTATAGAGCAGATTTTCATAGTCCTTAGATTTAAGAGATCTGTGAGGATCAGCTCTTTTAACTTGATTTAAACTTTGATTCTTTAAGATTTTCAGAATGCATGATGTTAAATTACTGTGGAAGCAAGTCACAACTATCAGTGGAAGAGAACGTGTGTACTTACAGCAGACGCTTTGTAAATATTATAGGTGCTTTTAACCTTCTTACCGTAGAAAATACTGTCTTGTTAGGAGGGAGCTCTGACCGCATTCCGCAAGACTTATGACAAAACTGTGGCACTGGGACATCGTCTGGACATTGTGTTCTACCTCCTAAGGATTGGCTTGTTTTATATGGATAACGACCTCATCACACGGAACATTGAAAAGGCAAAAAGGTACTGCTTGGGTTGTTTGAGTGCACTGAATCACTTGTGAGACAAAAGTGTACAAACTAAATGGAAGATAAATACCTTGCTGTCAAGAAATGACTAAGACTGGTTGTGAGACAGAATCACAGTGATGGGTGGGTGTTAGCTTGTACTAGAGATCTTCTTCCTGGATTTTTCTGAGGGGGAAGAAAGGTTAATGTTTTGTGTCAGCTGTTTTCTAGCAGCTGACTTGATTTTAATTTGTAGCCCGTCCCACTCTCACATTCCTGTTCTGTCGCTGTTAGAAGACAAATAACTTTGGGTGTGATTAGACTGTACGATAAAGTGCAGTGCAGGATTGCCAGCTGAATCCAGCTGCTGCCAGGGCCGCCCAGCTGGCTCTGTGAGGCACCAGCTTTTTTCCTCTGGAGGTGAGAACCCCGTGTCAGCACGGTGTGCTTTGGTGCAGCTCTCCTTCCCTCATTGCCATGGCTAGCTTCAGTGGCTCCGTGCTCCCAACATTTTGACCTTCAGTGGTTGCTGTAGCATGCTGCAGTTCCCAGTTTCAGCCATGAGACACCAAGGCAGAGGGGGTCTTCCCAGTTATCATGTTCCTTGAGCAACAACTTTTTTTTATGTTGCCTTCTCAGCAGATTTTGTCTCGACCTGTGCTCCTGCTTATGGCCACATCAATTTTGTGTTAATACGATTCTTGAAAAGTGGCAACTTGTAATTTTTTTCTAGGCTAGTTGGATAGCTTTGATTTAAGCATCATACGCAGTGGAAATACATTGCCACAGCCGGAGGTTGACAGTACTATTTACCTGCACATTTCAGAAGACTGTTGTCACAACTTCAGAGGCTATAAACTTTTCCTTTCAGTTGAAACTTGCACTGTGTGAAAACGTCTGACCTCTTGTGTCCCAAGGAAGCCACTTTCCTACCCCTGACAGGTATACAAAGCTTGGACTCTTTCAACCAGCTGTAACATAAAACAAGTTAATCTTTCTCTAATCACATGGCATCAGTTTTACTGGTCTTGTTTCATATAACTTAATACATTTACATAAGTAAACTTTTCTTTTTATTCTATTTTAAGTCTAATAGAAGAGGGAGGAGACTGGGACAGGAGAAATCGTCTCAAAGTGTACCAGGGCCTTTACTGCGTAGCTATTCGAGATTTCAAACAAGCAGCGGAGCTCTTCCTTGATACAGTTTCGACGTTTACATCCTATGAACTTATGGATTACAAAACATTTGTAACGTACACTGTCTATGTCAGTATGATTGCGTTAGACAGGCCTGACCTCAGGGAAAAGGTAAGGAAAGCAGATGGAAACACTGGTTCAAACAGACATGGCCTTTCTTTAACATGTTTATCTCCAGCCTGAGAGGGATGGTATTTAAACATGTTTGTTTGCTTTCAGGTTATTAAAGGAGCAGAGATTCTGGAAGTGTTGCACAGTTTGCCAGCTGTACGACAGTATCTCTTTTCTCTTTACGAATGCCGTTATGCAGCCTTTTTCCAGTCATTAGGTAAGGCCATGTTTTGTCCTGCAACACTATTTCAAGTGCTTCAGTTACGTGTTTCAGCTCATCCACAACTTTTGTGGAGTAGCTACAGTCTAGAACTAGAGCTACTTTATTCCCCCCTTCAGAAAAAAAAAAATTGGGGGGGTGGGTTTTTTTTTTTTAAGCGGTGATCTAAAATTTGCTGCCCTTTGTTTGAAAAATCAGACAAACCAACCAACCTTCGCATACAGTGAACTTTTTGAAAGGTCCCATCTGATAAGGTAGAAAAGTGTTTTGAAGATAGCTGTAGAAAACCATCTTACCTGAAGAGCTAGGTCAGATGGGAAAGCCTTGAAAGGTTTTATCTTTGAAAGAAGTTACAGGACTTGTAGTCTAAAGGCCTTGAAATCTCAACCTGCAAAAGAAATTACATGGAAAGTTTTCTTTGGTGCCACTGCCCTTCTGCTCTGGTTTCAAAAGGGTGATGCTGAAGAAAAGTTTTTCAGAAAACTCTCATTTCTGCCGATTCTCAGACTGCTTATTTTCCTTCTGTGAGATTTAGAATACAAGAAACTAAGATATTTAGAAAAAGCAAAAAAGAAGCCTTCATTCTGTGGAAGACTAGGCCTGAAGAGATTAGGAGCTAAAGGCAATAGTTTTCCATTGCTGGCCTTATCACTAGCTGAGAACTAAAACTGTCAGGAGAAAAAGTCGCTTCAGTGCCTGGAAATCCTTGTAACTAACTCAAGATTAACTTTCTGGTACTAGCTCTTATTTCCTTATGCAGCTTTGGGTAACCACATTTCTTCAAGTAGTTCCCTGCCAAGTGCTGCCTGTTTCCCAGGGCCCCACTGCTCCGTGTGACGGCCGATCCCGGCACTGGCCGGCAGCAAGGTGGTGCCCCTGCAGCAGAGGGGAGGCTGCTCACACCCTCGAGAAGGATTCTGTGCTGACAAACAGGGTCTCGTTACCTTTGCCACAGTATTGTTGGCATGTTGTTACTGCTTCTGGTTCTAGACTGATACAGATTATACGAACTTGCTTCTCTATAGTGTACAACACCATTCCCGTACTCAGTTGTGCAGGAATACAACATAGTTACGCTCACACTGATTACTTACTAGATGGTGTTACATGTTCTGTTTACGTAACTGATATTTTACATTTCTGGGAGATTACTGACTCATTTTCCTTTTTATTTTTTTTCCTCCTCCTTTTCAGCTATTGTAGAACAAGAGATGAAAAAAGATTGGCTGTTTGCACCTCACTATCGATACTACGTACGGGAAATGAGAATTCATGCATATAGCCAGCTCCTAGAGTCTTACCGGTCACTGACATTAGGATACATGGCAGAAGCATTTGGAGTCAGTGTAGAATTCATAGATCAGTAAGTTATTTGGCTTTTTAAGTCCACAAAGATCTCACTTTATACCTTTTAATTATTTATAATGCTGGCATTATGAACAAAAATTCTTTGTTCTACTTTGATTCTAAATGTGCCAAGTTACGTTGCTGTGGAAGAGCTTGGCTAAATTTAAGTGAACTTTATGTCTCAGTAAAGAATTTGAATCCAGTCTCTCATTACAATTTTTCCAGTATTTCTTTTACTCTAAATCCTAGATGAGAAACGTTTTTTATTAATAGTTTTGTTCTTTTTACTGCTATATCTTTGTTAACCTCCATGCGCTAGGAAAGTTAAGATTTTAGAGGATGACTTAGTTCACAACTGTGCAAAAACTTAACTGTTACAGCTGCAGGAATCATCCCATTTAACATACCCTACAAGTCACTTGATGTAGTTTTGCTTGCTTTCTGCTCTGTGGACAGGATCTCCTGCTTCTCACTTAAACCTACCCTGCAGTCTCAATTTGCAATTCTTTTCCATTATAAAACCAACAGTTAGATCATGACGAGAACTAACATGAAGTGAGAAATTGCATTTACGTACATGAAACTCTTTGTTTCAAATGCCTTCGCAAGAGTCATTCTGCTTTTACAGAGAAGTTTCAGATTTTCTAACACAGAATTAAGTAATAGGTGTTTCAAGAGAAACCAAATACCGTTCAACTCAAAGGTAAATATTTTGCAGTCATACTAGTTCTTATGCTTCCCAGTAATTTATTACTAGTTGTAACTTGTTTTCCTGTTGATCACAGGAATGTTTTCTTCTGCCATCAGTAGTGTGTTGTAGACCACCAGCTGAATAAGCAAAATACTAATAAAAAACCCAACATATTTAGAGCTACTAGAGAGTAGGGAACTATTAAGAGACTTTTCTAATGAATTGACTGCCATGAAGATACTTACCTCAGGATAAATTCCAGATAGGCACAGGACATGACTGCTGCCTTTGAATTTGAAGAGTAGTTGATGCTAAGCTAAGTGATAAATTTCACTATCTCAGGATGTCATTTTGACCTGAGAAGAAAGTACCAAGACATTTTGTATTCAGCTCTCTAGAATGATCATTCTTGTGTGCAATGGCCAAGCTTTCATAAGATGAGGATGCATAAGATACTTTATGAAAATATATATAGGCTGTTGCTTTAGAAAGAGCTTGGTGACACTTGCTTTGTAACAGCAGTTTCAGTGCTGCTAGGTCTGCAAGTCCTTGGTGAAACATGGTTTAACCAACTTTTTGTTTTTTCCTTTACTTAGGGAGCTTTCAAGATTTATTGCAGCTGGGCGATTACACTGCAAAATAGACAAAGTAAATGAGATTGTAGAAACTAACAGGTATGCTACCAATTCCTAGAAATTGGTTTTGACAGCTCAGTTGAATTCTGTACATTTTGATGACACTTACTACAGAAAAGTAAGTGGCTTGGTGTAAAACATATTCTCACTTTAAACTTTTTTTTCCCCCCCACAATTCCTAGGCCTGATAGCAAGAATTGGCAGTACCAAGAAACCATCAAGAAAGGAGATTTGCTGCTAAACAGAGTTCAGAAACTTTCCAGAGTAATTAATATGTAATTTTTTTAATGCAAGGAAATGCAAAATTTAGATGTTAAAAAGATTTTGGAAGTAACCTATAAATATATTGTATAACTTGGTATACTGTAGGTAAAAATAATTACTAGCAAGAGGGATAGTGTTTTTACTTGCCACTTCATTATGTAAACAATGTTCTGTTTTGGTGTACGGATCCCAGTTCATTTATTAAATGTATGATACAGTTGGTGATCTCTTGTAATATACTTTGTTCCTTTACTTGACTGTGTATGCAGTGCTCAATATTTAATAGCAAAGCAGCGTCAAGGTCTGTGAACAGTGAGAACTGATGGTGATCTGTGCTTGCTGTAAGAATTCTGTATTTGAATCAAAGGTGAAAAGAATCAGTTGCATAATAGTAAAGTAGCCAAAAATTTTAGTGGAGATTGTGCACTGTCCAGACAGGAGGAGCTCTTGTTCGGAGAGGATTACAGCTTAAGGGAGAAGGAATAAGGACGAAAATGACTGTGGTGAAGCAATGATATAACCACAAAGAGCTATAACGTTGGGAACATCTTTAACTGAAGTAGCCTATCCCTTAAAATGCCATTTTTGCTAGCTGTTGAAAAGAAAGTCAGCACAGTAGCAAAGCATTACATGTGTAATCACTTCCTCTGTTAGAGTGCAGATGTCAGAATGATGGTAGGAGCAGCGGAAGATACTATTGCAGTTTGACAGAACGGATCAAATACTGTAGGGGGTTACGATTTCTTTCTTCACAGCTGCTGAGGAATAAACGTTTCAAGCAGGCTGCAGCCATGCTGATGACACATGGTTTCTGGCCCTAGCAGAGCTACGGCAGCAGCTGTTTGCTGGCTTGGCTCAGCTTGAGGTTTCTTTTTTCCTCCCAGAGAAAGTCTGTGACTTAGTTCTGTTAGCTGTTTGATCCCACTGCACTTAGCAACAGAATTCATTTACTGTCTGTGTTCATTTGTGCTCCAAGTAACACCAGCAGGTAGATAGACCCAGAGGATGAGCCTGGCCTTTGGAGGCCACCGTGCAGCAACTTAGGCCAGCGTGGGATTCCACGTGCCCACTCCTCGTGCTGGCAGGATCACAGAGGATCCCCTGTCTTTGAATCGCTGCCACCTGCCTGAGGTTAAACTCAGCCACAGTGGTGAGGGTCTGTTAATATCCTCTGTTGAACTGTTCTGAAACCCAAAAATATGACCTAATGATTTTTAGTTTTCTTTTACTACTTACTAGAAGCTGTTTTGATTTTTGCTCGGTTTGTTGGGTTTTTTCCCCCAAGATATAACTACTTAGCTAGAGTTTGAAGATTCAGATTTCAGACTGTACTGATTAGAAGAAAATTCTGATCTTCCCTTTCTTTAGAATAGTGAGAGTAGTAAAAGAGAACCCTAGTTTGTTCACCACATGGCCAGCTGTTGATTCTTTGTGTGTTCACACGTGCCACTTCTTACAAAGTTTTAATTAATTTAGGCCAAGATTCAGACTTGTCAGAGCTGCAGTGATCTCAGTTTTCCTCGATCTGTTCTGTATCAAATAAATAAAGCAGAGCTAGCTAGGAAGGCTTCGGTTCTGGCTGCCTGTTGGTAACATCTTCCCTACGTGCAGATGTGAAGCGCAGGGGCCGTGGGCTTCGCTGAATTGAGGGATGTAATTTCTGGTGCACAGATGGATTTTCCTTTCCAATGTATCTGTATTTAAACTGGCCTTAATTAACTATATCAGAATTTTGCAAAATAAAGGCCAAGGTTTCCATCCAGCTTAAGTATTACCATATATATTTTTAACTGTAAGTTGAAGGGAATAGAAACTTACTTAGAACTAGGCTGCTCTAGGCTTTGTTCACTTGAGAGAAATCTTGCTGCTCTTTTAGTAAGAGCACTGGAAAAAAAAAACCCTGGAAATGTCTACTTTGTGAGGAAAATAAAAGTATTACTAAAGATTCTTAGTGTGCTGTAAGATATTTGCACAGCTTTCACATTTTATTTTATTCTAACCATCACTATCACCCTGCCGGGGCCAAGCATTTCAGGGTCTGGTGTTTTCTGCTCAGGTAGGTGAAAAACCAGAATGTCCAAAACAGAAGCACACGTATCCTGACAGAGCAAAGTGAGAACTGATTTTCAGTGCGCCTCCAGTAAATTACTTCAGTGAAAACCTTTGTCTTGATGTCAGTGTTATCTAGAAAAATGCTAACTGTACTAGACTTAAAGACCCCCTTTAAAGATCCCAACTAACTTACCTCAGCCTATGTGCTCCGAAGCAGGATCTGAGAGGAACCTGCAGGGCTACTTGATGAAGCTTTTTGGGCCAAGGCCTGGCAGGAAAATCACAACAATTTTACCTGAACAATTTTAAGGCTTTCAGCAGCAGTTCGGCCTCTCAGCCATGCCAATTAGTGGGATAAAGTTCCAGACAGCTGTAGGGACAAGCAAGGCCTCCTGAAGTCCACAGCTGGATGCACAAAGCATAGCCAGAGGAGCTATTTACATTGATCCCCTGAAAAAAAGAAAAAGCAATTTGAACCATAGTCTTTTTACCAAGGAGGGAGCCAGTGTGGCCAGGCCTTGAAATGATCAAGGGCATAATTTGTTCTATCATTTTTAACTACTTCAATTCCCATGTCAAATCAGAAGGAACAGGATTTCTCCTTCCTTTAAACCCTGAAGTAACTTCAAGTTACCTTTCACTGTCCCATGGTCACATCAGTTTTCCTTTTGGTTTATTTCTTCTCATGATTTCCATTTATTTAACTCAGATGGTGCGTGGCACTCCAGACACAGCCGTTCATGCCTCGGTCTTGACAGCTTTCCATGGATTTATAGTCCACATGCCAAAGTTGTACATTCTCTCTCGTAATTTAAGCTTGTGCAATTCCTTGAACTAATGCCATTCTCCAATTTCGCTTTGGAAGGCTGACTTCACGCTAGCACCGCGGTAGCCAGAACCAGACACAGATTTCAAGATGCAGCCACACCACAGAGACGCTTTCCACCGCGCTCTGTGACACATGCACTGCCACGAAGCTGTGGGAACGCAGGAGGGAAGGACAGGAGAGGGGGTGTCATAAGGTTTGTTAGTAAAGCTGCTACAAAGTGGTTGAAATTTAGTTTGGGTCACCTGTCTCTGCTGACCTGCCAACAGCTCCATTTCTTCTCACTGAACACTGGGGTCCAGTTTAAGGTCTAGCCTTACAAGACAAGGCTTTTGGAAAAAAGTCCCCTGTTGTGGAGGGGAAGGGGCGCAGGTTAAGGGAACTCAACTACAAAATGGAGGACAAAGAAAACTTCCAGCACTGTCAGAGAGCACCTAAACCGAGCGACAACGCACTGTCCCTGCTGATGCTCAAGAAAGCTTTGGGCTACAGTAGTTCAACTCCAGCCATTTCTTGGCTTGGGCAAAGCTTTTTGACTGCATTTCTCAGGCCGGTTTTCATCCTTTGCAATAAAGTTTAAATCCAGGTTAGTTTGAACAACTTCATAAAAGGTTTTCAAGATGCCCCTGAAGTTTGGTGGGCCAGAAAAAAACAAAACAAGCATATGCTGCTTTTCTGCAGCAAAGATCCCATGCTGTTTGTTAGGAACAAATCCAGCAGCTAACACAGTTCTGAGCCAAAGCGCTGAGAAAAGCATTCAGGCAAATTAAGAGTCCTGTGGTGGATCCTACAAGCCACGTGTGTTTGATTATTTGTTGCAGCAGAACCTGATAATAAGGAACCAACAGGAATTTGCATTTAAATAAAGCCAATTGCAAGCTCTTGTATTGGTTGTTTCAGTACTTGGCAAAAGCAACAGCGGCCACAGAGCGTTTCAGCCAGCAACAGTGACGGGTGCCGGGGCCGTCGCTGTCGGCAGGGAGGGCGCGGGTCCAGCTTCCCACCTCCAGGGCTGTGCCTGCTGCAGGTGCGGCACCAGATTAAGGAGGTTTGCTACCAAAGGCAGGTTAAAGCCTTTGAGCCCAACTCATCTTACCCAGGAGAATCCCAGAATCATTCAGGTTGAAAAAGCCCCTTGGGATCATCGAGTCCAACCCTCAGCCCGACTCCACAAAGTTCTCCCCTACCCCACATCCCCCAACAGCTCATCCAAACGACCCTTAAACACACCCAGGGATGGGGACTCCACCCCTCCCTGGGCAGCCTGTTCCACTGCCTGACCACTCTTTCTGTGAAAAATTTTTTCCTAACGTCCAGTCTGACCCTCCCCTGTTGCAGTTTGAAGCCATTCCCTCTTGTTCTATCGCTAATTCCCTGTGAGAAGAGACCAGCACCAACCTCTCTATAATGTCCTTTCCTTTCAGGTAGTTGTAGAGAGTGATGAGGTCTCCCCTCAGCCTTCTCCTCCTCAAACTAAACAGTCCCAGCTCCTTCAATCGCTCCTCATAGGATCTGTTCTCCAGGCCCTTCACCAGCTTCATTGCCTTCCTCTGCACTCGCTCCAGCACCTCGATATCCTTTGGGTTCGAAGGACACACCACCAGCTTCCATTCACAACACATGCATGCGCACAAAGCCAGACACACAGAACCTCAGGCGTCTGGATTTGCATTGCACGCACTATCAGCCAGGTCCGATTTTCCTGCATCACCAAGTGACTCTTCCCAAATATAAACTGGAGCTTTCTCCTACAAGACAGCGACAGGAGAAACACTGCTATCTGTCCACTTGAGGGAGGTTGGTGTTTACTGTTTTCCACTCCAGCATCTGCTCAGAGGCATTTTTCATTCCCTTTAGTAAAAGGAGTCGCTGGAAGAAGCGATGGCCCAGGGAGCAGCTCTTCTCCATGGCACTGTGCTGCAGGAAAGGGAGAGGGAGGACACCCCATGCCCACACTGCTCTGAGAAACCTCAAGAGCTCAGGGTTATAAGTGATAAATGCACCTTCCCCCTCCCCTTCTTTCCTCACTTTACCAGTTTTAGATGCGGCAGAACCCTATTTTAAATGCAGTTAAATGCAGAGTTAATCTTTCAGCTCCGAAGCAGACGCAGACAGCTCGAGTCATGGACTTGCCTGAGTGCGATGACAAGCAGAGAGCTCTGCTCCGTGCTGCCAGCTCCCCTCCTGCTCGCTCCGTGCCACCGCTGCCTCTGCAGACCGGCACAAGCAACTTCAGTGCTCACAGCCTATAGGATGGGGCAGAAATGAGAAATTCTTGCTAGAAAATAAAAGGTATTCGCAGGAAGGTGAGACCCAAAAAAAAAAAAAAAAAAAAAAAAAAAAAAAAAAAAAAAATCTTCAGCCAGCACAAAAGGTGAACGTATAAATATTATAACTGCTCATTATAAAAAGGCAAAGTACAACCTGCTTGCTGGCTGACTGCTCATTTATATCCTGTAGAATTTAGTCCAAATACTAAAGAAAGCTTTGTTCACACTGTTGTAACAGAAAAAGGAGAGAGAAAGAAAGGGAAGCATTGACACGGATGTAACTCAAGTCCACTCCCACAAACAGGAGTTTTACCAATTTTACAAACAGCTCCTCAGAAATCATCGACCACACGTGAGTCCCGAGTCACATGCAGAGAAAAGCCTTGCAAGAGTATTTAACCTGTTGAATTCACACACTGGCTCTTTAAACTGTGAAAACACAGATATTTATTTTTTTTCCCCCTTCCAAAAAAGTAAGAAATCGTCACCATTCAACATAACCACACATTTGGGGCTGTAAAAGCTGCTGCTCGTTATTCTATTTAGAAAACAATATAAAGCATGAACCTTAAGTAACAAAACGTCCTTTGCACAGGAAAAAATACTGCAGAGCTGATACAGGCACCTCTCAAAAACGGGTACCAGAACCCTGTAGGCTGTCAGGATCCTACCGGGCTGACCCTGCAGCCGCTCTCGCAACGCTGAGGTACGACAGAATTTGACCACATCCAATTCGCTGAAATTAGTTCACATAGGCACCGATACAGATAATGTTTTCCTTTAATGGTGAATGATTTTATAATGAAGCAGAAACATATAATGTATTCCATGCAACCAACCTCATTTATTGAAAAGTCCTAATTTTATTGCCTTGTTTAGTAACATGTTTGTTCAACAAACTAATTTTTTTCATGAAGCAAAGCACAACTTTTTCTTATAAATAGTATAAATTATTTTATTTACAGAAACTTGTTACAAAACAAATAGACTATATATTTATTTTTCTTTTAAATATCCAAAGTAATTTTTCTATCCCATGACATTTGTTCATGTACTATACAGCAGCCAACACAGAGTTCAGCTGATCAGATGCTCTTGATTATGTATACAAATTATCAAACTATTCACACATTTTACACAGGAGATTGCTTTTAGAACCAGGCTCAACACCGAGCAAGATGCTTTCAAGGCCTACATTCACATTGACATTATGTAGTGCTCATTTTAAAATTATCTTTAAAACGTAAAATATCTTGCACAAAAGGTAAAAATGATTATTTTCTGCTGAACAGTGAAACATTTAAGAATCTTTCTAAGCCCAATTCCCTCCTCCAGGACAGAATGAGTGAAAGATGAGAGAGATTCCTTGGCAAGAGAACTCTTACAGGAAGACAACTGCCTTAGAAGTGTCATTTGGAAATCACATCTTTATTTCTTAATAGTTTTAAGAGGTACGTACTTGGGGGTTTTGTTTGTTTCGTTTTCCTGGAATACCAACTATTTTGAACATTTTCTAAATTATTTAATTCATGAATACTGCCCCCCCCCTCCCTCCCCAGAATAAGACAGTTAAATAAACTGCTGGTTAAAACCATATTTCAAACCCTTGGCATTATATTAAATAGAAGTTATCAGTGGGATTGTTCCAACACAAGGTATTCTAATGAAAAGATTTTACAAAAGTTACCAGCATCATTCACTTTTTTTTTTGTCAACCCATCTCATTAATTTCAGAAAATATATATATGTATGTGTGTGTGTATATATATATATATATACACACACACGCACACATAC